ACACGAGCTAATTCGATAATCGTATCAATTGAAAGACCATTTACTCTGACACAATTATGTTCACGAATAAATTCAGCAAGTAAAGCTAAGGATTCTTCTTGTTGTAACATGGTATAAAGATTCGTAATATCAAAAGTAATCAAAAGAGTCAATGATTTAAAATAACCTTTCTGAATATATTTTTGAAGTTGATCAAGAAGATCAGCACCATCGACAAACGTTGTTTGACGTACAAATCGATCGAATAAGGATCGAATTAATCGATCTAAGAATTGAGAAATTTGCTTTGTAGCTGCATGAATGGTATTTAAAATAGGTCGAAGTGGTGTACCTTTCTAAAAAAATCAATTCATACTCAACAATGAACTAAGAATACGATGTATAAGAATGAGTTAACTTGTGTAGTTTAGGAATAAAACATATAAGCTAATTCAGTATTCTTCCACTTAGGCATCAATTTAACTCGATGCCATTCACGTATTCGATTCAAGGATTTTAATTGATTAAGTAAACGTGTTACAGTACATATGGTATCATCGAATGGATTCGAAGTTAATACTTGGTAGGCACCTGTTGTTCGTCGATATTCAACTGCTTTTCGCTCATAATCAGCAGCAGAACCAATATGAAGTACACCACTTTTATCTATTTCACGTAGTACAAGTTTATATTGGGTTGGTCAGAAATTTTTCGCGTTTTTTTCGAAAATTTCCTGAAACAATCGAGGAAGTTCTAGAAGGTTCCATAGTAAGGGTATATATAGGGGGTACGAATATCTTTCGAAGAGCAATAAAATTATGGAAATGGACATTGATCTTGAATTAGAAACGAAGATATCTCATAGAGAGCTCCGATTGCTTCTGCTTCATGAATTCCGTTTGGGTCGCAAAGCAACGGAAGCAACAAGCAACATATGTGGCACGATGGGCAAGGATGTACCCTCCATTCGTACAGCACAAGATTGGTTCCATCGATTCAAGAATGGTAACTTCGAACTCGACGATTTACCTCATACTGGAAGACCATTACAGGTGGATATGGATCTCTTAAAGCAGCTTATTGAACAAGATCCTAGATTGACGACACGGTGTTTAGCTGAACGACTTGGATGCTCTCACATTGCAGTGGAAACACATCTGCACGGATTAGGCAAAACTTGGAAATATGGAGTTTGGATACCCCATGAATTATCACCACTTCAGCTGCAATATAGGGTTGATGCTTGTAGGGAATTATTGACTTCTCATCGGAACTACCAATGGCTCCGCAATCTTGTTACTGGTGATGAGAAGTGGGTGTTGTATATTAACTACCAGCACAGACGCCAGTGGCTAAGCGCCGGTCAAGCAGGTGTACCAACGCCCAAAGCTGATCTATACCCAAAGAAGGTGATGCTGAGCATGTGGTGGGGAGTCAAAGGGATTATTCATTGGAAAATTCTTCCAAACAGCTGCAACGTCACAGCTGATCTCTACTGCCAGCAATTGGATCGGGTTGCAGAAAAACTCAAAGGAAAACAAGATCGAATTTACTTTTTGCACGATAATGCCAGACCCCATGTAGCAAAGTTGACACGCCAAAAGTTATTGGAGCTTGGATGGATCATTATTCCCCATCCACCTTATTCTCCAGACTTGGCTCCTAAGGACTACCACCTGTACCGTTCTCTCTACAATCATTTACGTGAGAAAAAGTTTGAAGACGAGAACGATCTCAAAATGGATCTCTTCAACTTCTTCGACCAAAACTCTCAAGACTTCTACGAACAAGGGATCCTTTCTCTGCCAGAGCGTTGGCGACAGGTCATAGATAGTAATGGAGCATACATTGTTGATTGATAATTGTATTCTGATTTTTCAAAAATAAAAAGAAAATTTTTGAAAAAAACGCGAAAAATTTCTTCCCAACCCAATATTTTTTAAATTTTTTTCGAATTGATTGAACCATTTTTAATTTCCGTAGAGCACGTATTTGATCGATTAAGGGTATAGGAGTCATATAAGCTTGATTTAAACAGGATTGAATTTGATCAGCGTAGGATTTATACAAGGGTGTATGTGTGGATGTGGGGTGTGTTTGTAGGTTTGGGTGGGGATAGATAAAT